ATTCTCTGTCAATTGATTTATTGATCAATCATCTAATCGTTTTAACCCTAATAATGTTCCTAGTAAAGTATAAATTGTTTTAATCCCCAATTCGTCAAATCTGTAAATGTGACAAAAAACTTGCATCATACTATTTGTTCATTAATTTAGTTCCAATCCCATTTCTGAGTAAAATCTTCATGTGAATGATTCCTTACTGTGCACTTCCAATGTGAGCTACCTTGAATCTGCATCTTTGAGAAAAGCAACACTATAATGTGATGCTGCTGCACTAACACAACTAAATCTGGAGTGTTCTGTCTTTAACAGCTCTACATTCATTATTTGGGGCATTGTAATCAGACCAATCCGGTTGAATTCTGTTGATTTCAATACACACACAGCACATACCGTATCAACAAGCCGTTGTAACATTTCTGTCTTCACTTGCAGCACAGTGTCAGACTCCAGTCCTGTCTGATGCTTACATAACCAGTGAGCCGCCTGCATGAATCAATTATTCATCTCCATGTCATAACACTGAGAATGCTTTGATTGTGACAGACAGCCAGACAAGGCAGTGCAGTAAATGGCAAAGAGCAAACACGCACCAATCTCCACCGAGTCATCGTGTGACTACTGACTCAAGGACAGCACCTCCAAATCAGACGAGTGTCTCCGCTGCACTTAAAGACTTTTGCCCACAAACAGCCCTCGGCAGTCAGTGAAATCAACAGGAGTCTTTCCACATGCAGGGATTCACAGCGAGCCGTGGTCAGTCCAGGGCAGACAAAGGAGGGCAGACTGCAGTGGTTGATTTAAAGGTCAAGCAGCACAGCACATCTTGATTTATCTGCCAGGATAATCAACCATGAGCATCTGTTCTGGACGACTTGCATGAAGTCAGAGAAAGAATGAAATAATGGCGAGCTGTAAATGTTCAAAGGCTTGTTTTTTAAGGTGGCTGTGATGGTCTCTCTGCACTCAGGGATAAACACTAGCTCTTTTCATGTTATCAGTAAATCATGGGGTTAAAACTCACCATACTTCATAATGACCGTCCTTCACTTCTTTTGTACTTTTTCTGCTAAGTCTTGGCTCTGCAAAACACCACCTGGGACCCAGTGATTGTACAGTGGTTAATTCCCCTGTCATCAGAGCAATGATCAAAGCCCTCCACTGGATCTGGTTTGTCTATAACAGTACAACCTGCTGTTGAAAGTTTGAATGCAGATAATCTTATAACCACTTGTGCTGCAACGGCTCAACAAGCCCACAGTTACGTCACAGTTTGGGTCACAGTTTGGCTTGTTTTGCACATTGAAGAGAAGAAAAACATTTCCAATGTGTTTGAACTCCAAAACATGTGAATAGATAGAGATATTGATTTATTATAATGAGTGATATTTCTATATCATATGATGCTATAACACTGATTGTATACATGAAATAATGCAGGCCACTTAAAAGTAGGCATGTGTTCAGATTATTGCCTCTTTGTGTCTCTGGCACCTCATCAAATAACCAGCAGGCCTGTATTTAAGACAAGACACTACAGGCTAAAACATTGGTTTTCATGCACTGATCAATTTTGAGATTTTGGGCTATTTTGTTTGTACAGCATGTCTTCTTTCAGACTAGTAGAAAGAAAACATCCAAAATATACATTTAGGTGTTTATTGTACTACTTTGACTATTTGCGTCTGCAGATTTCTCCCAAATGAACATTAGATATTGCCTAATTTCCAATTTCAGAAAACCTGCAATAAGGGCTAAAATTATTATTTTTTTTTTTTCATGGCTGTTGACAGAATTTTCTGATTCATCAATAAAACGGATATCCAAAATCCCCCCTGAAAAAAACTTTGAATCTAATATAGCAGCAAAACGAAACCACAAATTGGAACATGGCTTCATCTAATGTTGAGATTTCTGTTCTGTAAATGTATGCAAATTAGCACATCATTAATAAGACAATGCATCATTTGCAAATTTAAACCTTAATTCGACATTTAAGAAACAAATAACTGTCTTAATGTAAGTAATCAACTGAGGAAGTTTCACGATGGTATCTATTAGTTAAAATGTTTACCTTACCCACCTGTGGTGTCTTCCCGTAAAAGTGGTGCAACGGTTCAACAAGTTCACAGTTAAGTTTGGTTTTGCATCCCTAATAACTGCACAAACTGTTTTCTCACAGCCTGAACTAGTGATAATATGATGATCAAATAAAATATGAACAAAAGTTCAAGAACAGCTACTAAATGGATGTTTAGGTGAATTTGTTTTGCTGTTTTCAAGGTCAACAATAAACTCTCAAACTCAATTTTGCTACTTCCTGCTCTTAAATTTGTTTGCATAGTTGATAAAAGTTGATGTTTACAGTGAATGTGGAGATGCATGTCAAACAATGGGATCTTACATTTATGGAAGTAAACATAGAAAAGCCACTGATTCCAGCTCTAACATTGGTGACGTGCTGGTGAATATATGGGATGATTGAAGCCATCACACTGATGCCTGCCATTGCTATTTAAAAAAAACAACTAATAATAGACTTTCAGTGTTGTATCATAAAAAATAGATGGACAAAAAAATAAGCACGAGGCACACAAAGCTATTCCTGGTACATTACCATTAGTATTGAGAGTAGGTATTAATATTCATAGTGTACTTCACACTATTACATTTGCATGGCTTTGCTTGCCGCCGTCTAGTATCTAAAAATGGATATAGGACATTTCCTCCAGATTTACAAAGCGGCAGTAAAGAGTGATCTCATTACTGTGATTATGTTCTCACACACACACACACACACACACACACACACACACAGTGTTTAATACTTTACTGTAGCTCATTCTCAGAGGTTATCGCCTCTTGTTTGGTTTCTATTCTCAGCATCATAAGAAATGACTCAGGATACAATTTAGGTGGATGGATATCTTCGAGATCATTACACAAGTCTCTCTAGGGTGTTTGTTTTTCACCCAGTCATTTAGTGCTTTGTTTGTCAGTGTGTACATATTGCATGTAGTGTCAGACTGAATAGGAGAGAAGGACATTGTGTCTGTGTTCGAGGGAGATAAAACAGGAGAGAAGAGAGGGAGAGAGATCAAAGACTATGGCCCTGTATCAAAAATGAGGTTGGAAGGCTCTCCCTCCTCTCTCCATCCGGCTCTCCCCTGATCATCGACCCTGAGGAGAATAAACTCAATCCATGTTAAATTATAGATTAAGACCCGACTCTGGCTATGGTTTGGCAGCTGGCGGCAGCATGGGCGTCGAGCTGCACTGAGTTTTACACACTTCTGCTGCTGCTACTGTTGCCTTACCTCGCTGCCTTATTAAACATCAAAACACTCACATGTCAGGATTTAAAAGAGACTGTATGAATATGTAAAGATGCTCTCGACAATGTGCTCTCTGTGAGGATGTGGCTGTGTTTTGTTGGCTTCGTGGATGAGTTAACCTTTAGCGTCACTTTTCGGGTCATGTGTTTTTCTCACTGGTGACATTTTATTCATAGATGAGCTCGGTTCTTTTAGCTCCATGATGAGATGATTTGGAAAGTGCTGGTCAACATTAGTTTTTTATGGATATTGCACACTGTTCTTAGAGGGTTCAGGTGTGTTAAAGTGGACAAAGAGAGAGGATTACACACATGGGTGCAAAGCAACGTATAGGCTGCTGTTGTGGACGGGGGGCAGCAGCAAAATGTATTTTAGCCAACTAATAGAAAGGATCACCTAAAGATCAATATCAGTTTAAGGTTACGCTATATTTAGAATATTTTCCAACAGGGAACTGTACTGAAATTTAGTTTTATAGTTTTTAAGGTTTTCCTTTCGGCTCAGTACCCCATCAGAAACTGTCTGAAGGCAAGATAAAGTAGTGAAAATATTCAAAATATAGTGTACACTTAAACGGACACAGATCTTCTTGGTGGTGGATGGCGCAGAGCATCAGAAATGCAAATATTGTATTTCAGTCTCAAAAAGTTATGAATATCCATATCCAGAGGCTCAAGTATGACACAATAAGAAGAAATATTTTCAACTTCAACTTTTGATAATCAGCTATGACAAGATGTTGACATCTGATAAACTATGTGGGCAGTCTGTCATAGACACAGTGCATCGAGTTTAATCATCTTCTTGTTACGGTGGATTTATGACGGTTGTCTGCAACGTTGATGGTGTCAGAGGAACACAATGTTGGTTCAGCTTTTCTGTCTCGTAGCTCCACTTTTGCTGATTCGGTAGGAAGCACAGGCTGAATGCCCCCTTGGCCTACACCCTCTCCTTGCAACACGTTACGTATTTTATATGTTGTAGCCTATGTGTTCTTTACTTTAGTGGGTCTATCATATATAACATCATCCTCATCATGTACAATTCCTATTTTTTTCTTTAGTCATATTCATTGATGTGTTTTATTTGTCTTGTCAATCACTTTGTGACTGTTGCAGCGTGTTCACACAGACTCCAAATCACAGTCTGTTGTGTATGCCTCCCTTATGTGTCAGTATGAGTGGAACAGTTTTGTCAATAAACTTTCCAATAATTTACGGTCAGCAAATAAAGGTGCTTTGTACAAGATCAGGAGCATTTCTATTGCATCTCAACAGAAAGTGCAAACAGAGCTACCAGTGTTTACCTGGGGGGGAGATACGCTTCCGCGACAAAGCAGCCCGGTATTATCAGTTATAACCGCAGTATGAGCTCAGTGCAGTGCAGGGGGCATGAGCTAGCCAGTGGGTGATGCTCACATGCACTAACATGCACTAAATGCACTCACTCACGGCAATGTTAACAAAGCCAAGAGAAGCTCGGATAATAGCTCACACTGAGGGAGAGTGACTTCATTCACTGCTCAGGTTAACATTACTCTACTATAGCAAATATGTGTGTTCTGCTTGTATTAAGGCTCTGTATTGTGTATAAAGCACCTTTAAGTAATTGTGAACAATACCCATGGAAGTCTACATAAATGTATAAATCACAAATTACAACAAATAATCAGTTGCCATGCCACAGCATTTTATTCACAAAACCAGATAGAGATTGATTTACTCCCTTTTATCTGAATGTAGCACTTTCTTATTGTCTAATAATGGCCTTTTATTGGACAGTTTGTAAATAACAGGAGAAAATGCCAATTCCAGATCTTGCATAAATATAGAGTCCGATGTATGAAAAATAATGTGTATAATTTTGGTATATTCTGTGATCGAAAATATAAATCTTTATCTGTTCTCAAAAACAACAGTGCAGCGACAATATTCTTACGGAACAATATGTAGTATATCCCTTACAGTGATTTCATGCAAAGCAAATCTCATAGGGCAGTCAAAGGCATCAAGATAATGTCCAGTATCAACATCAAACATGATACATGCAGTTTCAACATAATCGGCATGCTGCCCAGAACTACAAAACACTGTGATGAATCTCAAACACAAAAGGATATTTAGACATTTCTCATCCTGTACGTAAAGAAGTCTTCTGAAGGCATAGTTTTTGGGGACATTTTCCCTCTTATCCACAGTGAGACAAACTCATGGCTGTTTTTCATGCTGTTGTTTGCAGCTTATAGATTTGTGGAACAATAAAATTAGCCAACAGAAAGTAGATCAGGCGTTACAGACATACAGGCTTGCGTTTGTCTCACCCAGGTGAGAAACAAAGAATCAATGTTTTATAAATATGTTTTATTTATTCCAAAAAAAACTATACCTTTACATTAAAATGCGTTCAGACCCTTTAGACAAAACCATTTGTATTCATCTCTGTCATAACTTTTTCAGGAATTAGGAGATCACACACACACACACACACACACACACACACACACACACACACACACAGCCTGAAGAGTTTGAATTTTATCAATGACTTTCCTCAATCAATACATTAACATTTGGCCTTTCACATTACCTAATTCCTTAATTAGAGATACCAGGTTTTCATGATACACACATGCAATCCACAAAAGAAGTAGACAGCCGAAGGCTTGGTTAACCTACAAACATTGAAAATAATGCCATGCAGCCAAAGATTTGCAACTGAGGTAAGACAGTAAGGAACATTCAGGAACAAGATCATGCTCCGGTCCACATTTATAATGGCAATTTGTGTTTTTATGTGAGAGAAATCACAGTGATTCCTTTCGGTTTTGTAAAGGCGTTCCAATCGGCTTATGGATTTGAGGCAGTTCCCATTACAAAACATTACAGTAGCAAGTGGCCCTCTTTGGTTTCAACAGTAGTCTCTCAATCTTATACTTCTCAGTAATTTAAAGCAATTAGATGGATAGATAGATAGATAAAGAATAAGGAAGAAATGAAGAAAGAAAGAAAGAAATGGGAAACTGCCCTTTAAGTATAGTTTGACCAATATGAATAATCACGCTCCCGAGTTTAACACAGTGACACTCGGGAGAACCAATGTGCTCACTGGATGAAACCTGCCTTTAATCTACCCAGATTTTTAAAAATGATTTAGGGTAGTGCATGTGTTGGGAAATCACAGGATATGGGAGGAGTCCCAGGTTATAAACCTTTACTCAACACTTAGCTTGCTTTACTTCCTTCCTGCAGATATCACGTTGCCAGCTGATGCTGATTAACCATCACAGGAACCTTGGTTTACTCTGCTGCTCAGATCCAGACCGCACTTAGACTTTGACCCAAACTTGGTGTTTTCAACAGGCATCAGAGTCTCTGTGGAGTCTAGTTGTTGATTTGTATCTCTGGCTTGATGGGGCTCAGGACTCTGATCTGATACACCACTCTGATTGGACACTGAGGGTCCGTGTGTCTCCTGATAGGATGAGCAGAGCTCCTGCCATTTGTTTCGGTTGGCATCTATCCCATCCACCATCGGCTGCAACTTCCTGTTGAGCTTCAGCATTGCCTGGGAGCAACACAGGAGAGTACAGTTGATATTCAATCTCCTAAATAAGGTTTTTATTGTTTGGATTTTAAAAACGAGACCCACAGTATAGGTTGAACTTTAGACATCAAGGTTTACCTACCTGATAAAGGGGTTTACATATCCCATCTATCCACTCCAGCTGTAAGACAGGTAGTTCATCTTTGCGATTGCGGTCAAATATGGCCTACAGAGAGGTGATAATCTTCTGTTATCCATGACCAAATCATCATCATTTGACAAAAATGGTCACATAAAGAACATGGTTTGAGTGTAGATTGATAGAAAAGTGAAAAGTGAAACAAATCCTCGTGAAAGATGAGACTTTTAAAGCTTGCTTACTTACCGCTGGGGTCAACTTAAGCTCAGACCTCTCTCTGTCACCCTGTTCAAAGAATTCACTCGTCACCAGCTCTGCAACCTTGGGACATAAATGCCATCTATTATTATTCAATTATTCAACTAAAACTTTAGTATTTTATAAATGCAAATTTATAAAAACTTTTTTTTAACCAAATTCCGGTTATATTTCTACATCTCCAAGCCCTCAAACATAAAAGCACAGATGTGAGACACATCAAACCTGTTTGGATATCTTCCAGGGACGAGTGACTGCGCCTAAATCGCATCCTGTCATCAGCATGGACCTGTTGATGACAACAAAGATGTTTCTAGCTACCTGTTTGGCTCTTCACAGTTAAAGTGATTTGGGCACAGAAAAGTTTTATTCAGTACAAAGGTAGAAACCTGAGAAGTTCTCTGTGTCCTTCATCTGTCCAGCTGAATTCCCCAGACAGAACACACTCAAAGAACTTGGTTCTGCGCCTGACAATGCAACGAGACCGTCAAGGATACAGAAAATGTGAAAAGGCAAAATAAGACACTCAAAGACGGTTTTCATCACACAAGTACAGAAATCTAAACGTTGATTCTCCTAATTAGGTGTAGGAGTTTGTCTAATAATTTGTAATAATCTACTTCAGTTTCACTTTTTACCAATCATGTAGTAAGCTACATCAGAAGCTCTGAATCCGTTAAAAAGGCCACTTACTCAAAGTGCAAAGTAAGGTCTGTAGAGAGAATAGCCTGCTTCAATAGTTGCATCATGTTGCTATACTCTTTAGAGCAGAGGTTTGCAAAGATATTGTGACCCTGTGAGAAGAAAGAATAATACCATATAGCAGGCGCATACACAAAAGCAGGCAAGGATGAGTAATAGCGGCAGAAATAGTGGCTCCTTACAGCCAATGCATTGGTAAAATCATCGCTCACTGTGAAATGCGGCTCCAATTATCAATGCTAATTAGCAATGTATGGACTTTCTCTGTCCTCTGTTAAAATATGTCAATACAGAACACAGTTCCTGATGGTCAAACTGATCACAGCAGTCTCTCAACCGGTGGTCGTTGACGCCGCCTGCCAGCGCCATCCCAAAACTCTTACTGCACACCAGTGGCTTTCTCAAAGACACGTAAAATGTTGAAATATTTCCAAAGAGTAATCTAACATGAAAGTCATGGATGATCATGGTGCTTTTAATTATTTTTTTTATTTTATGCATTTGTGTTTTTATCGTTTTGGTTGTGCTTTCTTGTTGACTTCGCTGTCATCTGTCCCAACTCAGGACATGTGTTGCAAACTAGCTTACGGCTGTAGTATGTGGCAACATTGTATTCGATGCTTCTCTGACAGTGAAAATGGCATTCACATTCATTGGCTAATCTAAATTACAATTCAAACATCATTAAGGAGTAAGTATTCACAAAATATTATATATCACTTCAAGTTAAATACTCCCCGGTCAAGGGAAGCAAACTAAGGATAAATCAGTTCATACAGTAAACCTAATGAAATGAGAAATACTGGTCTGACCTCACTTTGTAGGATCATGACTGCATGGTTGAAGTGATGATGCTCCAGGGTGGCTGATGTCCCGTAGAGCAGAGCCAGAGCAGAACCTGTCCTGCAGGACAAAACGGAGCATTGAAACTCTCAGACGCCTTTCAAACACCTGTTGGTCATCATACTGTAGGCCTGCCTGCCTCACTTACTTGGCTTGAAATGCGTTGTTGGTGCCTCGGTGGTCTAAGTCATGACACAGGCAGCCGACCATCAGTGCCAGTATCTCAGCCTCTGTGAGGACATCCTGGAAATTGGCTGTCTGCCAAAAGAAGAGCAGATTGGCACACTCTTACCCTTTCATTTTGCAGAGTCCACCACAGCTTTCATTCTCTATTCATTCGGTTTTATTTATACTGTATTAGATATTGCCATTAAATAGAGTAGGACAGGAGAGGAGAGGAGAGGAGAGGAGATAAACCTAATGTTTCTCCCGTTATGTTTCCTCTTAATGTTTTGTTCAGTGACTGATTGTTGATTAGTGTACTAAGTCCACAGAGACATATTTTTCTCATAACTTCAACATCTTGTAATCGTCATCAAGGATCTAAGTTTGGATGTTTTTATTTTGGTGGTACATTTGCCTTTGCTGTATTAGACAGTTTGACTGTGACTGAAATTAAGAGTCTGGCAGAAGTCGGAGATCTTGAAACTTACTCTGATCATAACGAACATGCACTGCGACACATTGAAGGCATGCCTCCAGTTGTGATACGCCACAGTTCGATAGTTCTTCCTCACAGTCAAAAGCCAGCGGCATAGAACCTACAAAAAGACAGACATATACAGGTGATATAACTACATGCACACATATACACTGTGGACGCTAGCGCCTGACAAATATATCACAGGACATATAAGGGCCTCACCTCATAGTCAATTTTGAACTTTTGGACGACACCGAGTTCTAGAAACATCCGGAGTGACGCGGTGATCATGGCGTCATTGTCCAAAGAGAAGTCGTTGAAGTGAAACTCATCGATGCCTAACTCACTGCTCAGGGGGATCTTTGCTGCCTTAGGGGGGCAGAGGACAGAGCTATCAATCAGCCAGCAATGGAGGAGGCAAAGCACTAAAATATGTTGCAGACAGTTTTCAAATTACACTTCATCTACACACATCACACATCAGATTTCTGAAAGTTAGTTTAGGTACTGTATATGAATGTTGTTTTCTTTCTGATGTTACCTTAAGTCTGTCAACTTCTACCTTGGAGCAGGTAGCATGGTAGGACAACATCTGGAAAAAAAAACAAATCATGCACTGAGATATATAAAACTGATTCCGATGCTATTGAGGTGAAAAATAAGACCAACTCCTAAAAAGACGCTGTTGTGGAAGATAATCAATGTTCCAAGGATTTTAATGCCTATCTTTCCTACATCTCTTGTTATGTAATCAGGATCAAAGAAAGTACTTTCAAAACCAATTTGTTGCTATACTTTGGGTCTCCTGACAGAAAAGGAAATCCATCAGGTGTCAAAGAAAGAGCAAAGATTATGTGACAGAAGTACAGGAGCGTTGCCTTGTTGCCTTTGATGAGAGCTGAGCAGACTGGCACATGTATTTATCATGAATTATTGAAAGCAGCAGAAATATTTATGGTAGAGAAGCAGAACCATGTTTGCTGAAGGTAATGTGACTGCTCAGGTTAGATACCGGGCAATGGAGCAGAACACAGATGCAGACGCTAATGAATGTGGAGAGCCTCAGTTAGGGTTAATCAGTGACACCACTTTCCTCAGTTACAAGTTTGGCGTCACTCTCTAATTTACTGTTTAGCCCAGCGCACGGTCCAAATAAACCCGTGGTTAGCATCGTCAATCCAAACAAAAACACTTGTTTAGGCAACAACACCACTTAGTTAAGTTAAGGAAAAAATAATGGTTGGGCTTAAAACAACAACATAAACAATATAATATAAGTATGTAAAACATAACAAAACAACCCTAACATACCTTTAAAATAACTCAGTAACACTTTGGGACACAAACATCGGTTTCGAACACCGGCCTCCTGTACTTGTTTGTCCCATCCACCTCCCATCCCTGTCATCACACTCCCGAAGCATTTTCTCTGATTGTCGAATAATGGATGGGTTTACAAAGTTACGTGAAAGCGCAGTGCGTGTCATACAATCGCTAAAGGGTGCGTTGCTATCTGACACTGCGGGGCGTCTCAAAGCGTTTGTAGTTGACAAGCTGGAAATGAGAATTGGCTTGACTGTCAAGTTCTCTAAAGACTGGTGGGTATGGATGATGTATTTCTGTAATATCTCTGTAATTTCACCTCTGTGTTATTTATTTTACATTTTAAACAGACAGGAATGATGGGAAAAGAGAAGGAAAAAAAGTCAAATGTTGATACATAACTCATGTCTTTGAAAGTGGTTGAATTATGGTAAAACAAAAGTAACATTTGCTGTAATCAATAAGTTGCAGTGCTTACATCCAGTGCCACAGACTGCTTGGCCCACGTCTTCTTAACTTGATTGTACATCATAGTGTTGTTGATTCCAAGTCCACAGAATATCACAAATGCCTGTAAACAAAGGAAAATCCAGAGAAAAAAACACTTAAAGTTTTGATGGAACAGCTGCAATTAGAGCTTTAAAAAACAAACCTCAAACAGTCTCTGATCTGCATCATTGAACGTCTTCCTGTCGAGGCGATTCAGAATTTGTGCGACCCCTGCAGAAATGACACACATAAACATCGACTTTAACATGAAAACAGATTTCCCAGTGAGGACAATTGGATTATTTCTGGTCAATTTACCAATTATCTGATGAGTTCGATTCCAGATGGGGACACATAACACTGATCTGATGTGAAATCCTGAGGCTTGATCCGCCTGTAAATAGAGGAAACGGTGACAATCGAGTTTCTGTTTGTTTGAGAAATGGATATTTCAAAGAGCTGCCCGAGCACGCATTTTTTATTTGAGTCAAACATTAATTATAACACAACACATATATTTGTTTTCGTAGGTCTTTGTGATGTGTGTCTGTGTCTACTTGCTGCAGCCTGAAGCATGTGTGTGTCCATGCAGACTATTGTGTTCACACCTCAGCATCAAAGCGTGGGTCCTGACACACATCGCTGATGTTCACAGGCAGCCCTGTGGAAGCCACCAGCTCAGCAATGCTGTTATTGATCAGCCAATCAGAGCACGATAGCTTCTCCATGCTGATGTGCCCAATAACACAAACAGGAAACAATAATCAGGTCCGGCAGCATCAATTATTGAGTGTGTTATGGATTTGTATAAATGCACATCACATGTATTCATTTAAGGTGTGTGTTGTTATTTTGGCATCGCCCCACAGAATGAATAATCTTTTTCATGATGTCCCTTTCACCTGATGTCACGGTCCATCTTGCACAGGGGAGACATGAGTTCAAACGTCTTGGAGAACTTCACAACCTATAGAAGAGACATGTATCAGCTATAAGGACATTTAGCAACAAAGATAGGAGAGTTTCGCACAAGAAAAGCTGCTTGTTTTAACAGAAAAGTTAAAGAAAATGAATTTGTGAGGCCGGAAAAGAACAAACTGAAAAGAGTCTCACAGGTGAGTCGATGTCTTCAAGGAGAAGCACAGAGCAGCGTTCACACTGCAGCAGGGTCAGCGCTCGCTGCATGATCTTCCTAACAATCTTCTCCAGGTCGGTCTGCTCCTCAAACAGGTCGTTGACCACCTCCAGCAGAGCCTGTGGCAACGAGAAAGGTCACTAATGGCTTATGTGCATTGCAGTGTTGACATATATATGTTGAAACATGTATATTTTAACTAAGTCTAAAAATGTAATGCTACTGCTGATTCTCCAGCATCTATAAAACAACCAAAGATTCTCTTACCCTACTCCTTTCATACTCCTTGCGAGACTCCGAAAACAACTTGGCATTGGAAATTGATATTCCACAGAATGGTAGATACATCTGCAGAACCTGAGTAAAAGTACCAAAAAAGTGGTGAAAGGCATAATCAATAATAATGTTATCTATTTGTATGCTAAAAAAGAGGACATAAAACTGGGTAAGAGAAAAGAAAAGATTGAGCGTGGATGGGAGAAGAAAGTCATGATGGAGTTTACTGCTTCTCTGCACACATTTTCTCCGATAGATTGCTTGTTAATGAAGCATTGATCTAGAGAAAGAAGGCATTTAGTGAGACATCAAGTGCTCTAAAATGTCGAGATAAGCTGGCAGATCAAGATGCCAGTGTCTTTGTAGCATAACAGCAGTTACTTTGACTTTGTTTAGAGTTTTGTTTACATTCTCATACAGTCAAATTGTATTTAAAAAGTGTTTAAATTACTGCAAACTCAAAACATTGTTTAAAGTAAAATTTCTTTGAAGTAGAGGCCAGTGAAGAAATGTATTGAGAAAAAATGATTTTCCACAACTTTAATCTGCCACCTTGTGGACAAACTGTTGCAGCTCAACTGAAAGGTGAATAAACATAAACAGTTTGATGATTTCTTTACTAACTAATTGTGTGTCAAATGAGTACCTTTTCTTTTTTTTAGTGCCGGGTTACACACTTAAACAATAAGCCAGTACTTTTCACATATACGAGATACACAATATATTATTTGCTCATCACCAAACTGGGAGAATGAAAATGCATATTTAAGCTGTGTAACAGTAGAAAACAACAACAACTAATGCACACAGATTCTAGTAAGCCCATTCCAAGCAGATTGCTCAGGAAGCAATTGTACGTATATATTGCAAAGCCAGACATATTTAATGCTGCACACTTGAGAGGTTGACCTCCCCCTTTAATTTTTCTTAGGTTTTGCTTCCGAGGGAACGCTGTGCCCCTCTCCAGAGCCATTAAGAAGATTCAGAAGACAAACAGTGTTTTCAGCTGCATGGCTCAAGAGCTTCTGTGTAATAACTGTTAATGTGTGTGTGTGTGTGTGTGTGTGTGTGTGTGTGTGTGTGTGTGTGTGTGTGTGTGTGTGTGTGTGT